GCCCCCCGACGTAGCGACACGTCCCACTGACGGCCCCCCGACGTAGCGACACGTCCCACTGACGGCCCACTGACGGAGAGATACGTCCCACTGATGGCCAACTGACAAGGTGACTCGTCCCACTGATGGCCCCCTGATGTTGTGATGCATGCTACTGACTGCCCCCTGACATAGCAACATGTCTAACCAAAAAATTTAGCTTCGATAACTGCTAAACCGCTATCTCCAAAGTTTGGTGACACTAAACACAGATCTAAACGCAGATCCCTAGCCTCAGAGCCACCACTCTGCCCCACATATACCAAACCGAACCAATCAAACCCTGTCTGACATCACCCAAAGCAAAGATGCAAAGAATGTCATGATGGCACTGGCATGCATGAGGAATAATTTATAATAATAATTTAACCTTTATTGTCCCTCATGGGGAAATTCTTTTTACGCCTCCATCAACTTGCTCTTTGTAGAGCAAGCTGTCCACAAAGGGCAGCCACCTGTTGGGGCACCCAGGGAGCTGCGGGTTAAGGGCCTTGCTCAAGGAGCTGCAGACATGCTGAGGCTGGGTTTGAACTGGCGACCTTGTGATTATAAGCACACAGGCTTAGCCCACTGAGCCACACGCTGGTGGGCTCAGTGGTAGGAATGCACACCTACCAAGTGTGCACATGTTTGTAGGGCATGATGGGAAATCAGGTCGAAACCGACTCTGAAAAACATGCATAGATACCTCAAATTTAACCTGTTTAACACTAATGTCCCATCTGTCAGACTACAATGATTAATGTGGGATATTTAGCCAATTGGGTATTGTTGGATTCTGTAGTGTCTCCGGAATAAATCTGCATTGAAAATTACTTCCTATATTCCGTTTGTGAGATATAAACGTTTTATTGGAGAAGCCCTATTTGACAACTGGCCCATGCTGACATTTTGCCCTCAGTGCAGCCCTGTAGGGACTACAAACATGGCGCCATTTACAAAGGAAGGTTTCAGCTCTTTATTGGTGAATAGCTCTGTCAATCGGAACTTGGAAAATACAACCGGGGGCAGGTATCACAATGCAGGATTTCCTGCGCGGCCAGATAATTTAAACTAGGGTACCTTACATCCAACAAGTTATCCGGCTAATCAAGAGATTCAGCTTTGTGATACAGGCCCCATGTTCTCCACTTGGTTCAGGGTACCCCAGTTTAAATGGACTTCATCTTCAGTCACTTACATTAGCCCAGACTACCTTAAATTATCAACCAAGCACATCTTGTGTTTACTAGTAGTCGGCAAACAGCATGCCAGACATGCTCATGCCAGACAGGAACAAATATGTATGATTTTAGGGTTTACAAACATTTTTAACTGTTAAATTGTATTCATTTTACCTGCAAAAAATGTTAACAGATTTACAGTTAACGGAACTAAATTTAGTAGATGCTAACTGGTCTGCTAACAGTTTTCAAAGTTAGTGTAAACAATCCGCTAATTAGTGGTTAGCAGAACCCTGCCCACCACTGCGCACTGGTAAGGTGACGCGGCCCATTGGTAAGGTGCTGCATCCTGCTGACGGCCCACTGGTAAGGTGCTGCATCCTGCTGACGGCCCACTGATGAACTGAGCCGTCCTGCTGACATAGCAGCCCATCCCACTGATGGTTCACTGACGTAGTGGCGCATACTTACATGGAAACAGACCAGCGTCTCCTTCACATTTCTGCTGTTGTGTGAGGTGCCGACACACTGACCCTCCATCCCTAACATTTGACCCCCCCCCCCCCAGGAGGCAGTTCGATCCATGATGGCCCAAATGCAGCAGGTATCCCAAGAAAACCAGAGCCTGCAGGGGGAGCTGCAGCAGTTGATTCAGAGGACACACGCACTGCGCTCCCGCCGGGATCAACTGCAGGCACGCAGGCAGCAGCTCCTGCTGGAGAAAGAGTATGCGCAGGTGGTGCGCAGGCAGAGGGCACGGCCAGAAGAGGGCAGCGATGTGCCACCAGGTCAATAATGCCGCTCAGGGAAAAAGGCACAGAGGCTTAGAGGACAGGCCTGCAGACAGACTCTCACACAGTGCAAACAGGCTGGCAGTACGCGCTGACAAGTACGCATTCAGATACAGTCACCCACGCCGCCCCCTGCACCTGTCCTCAAAGCAGTCTAATAAAACATCAATGAAAGCTATATGGAGAGGCTTTTTAGCAGGTCAAAGCCAGGTTCACTGTACAGTGAGGACCCAGTGAATTCATAATGGTCCCATATAATGCGGGTGACACAGCTGGGTCCCTCTAGCCCTCATCGCTCTGCAGTCCGGACACATACAGGTCTGTGGGTGGAGATGGCAGCCTCTTCCAAGCGTGTTATATTACTTCACACAACCCACGGAGTGAAAACGGGCGGGTGTCTGATGGCACACAAACACTCTGGTCTGTGTGCATTCTGCGTCTGGGAGGAGATGCGCCTGAAAATAAGACCGCTGCCTGATCCAAACTGGGGAGAAATGGATGAAAAGTTTGCTTTAAAGAAAACAGCCAAAAATATAATACAGGCAAGGTTCTGTCTTTAAATATATATGTATCTGTAGTACACACTTCAGCCCAGCAGAGGGCAGGGCAACATACACCAGATATCAGTAAGAGGTAGTTTATTAGTCTTTAGAACAAGGATGAAAACAGCATTCACACAGTCATCCACATATACACAGTATTTTTACATATTTACATTTTATTATATAAATTATAAAAATAAAACTGATGTAAATTAACTTTAAACTTTCATTCGTACAAATGACATGAAAGGAGAAGGTAACGACTGGGGAAATTTGACGTATTTATTCTCAATGGAAACATTATTTTCAAAAATAAGCATTTCTTTGTACATGTCAGAATAATTTAACAAATGCTTTAAAATGGTCCCCTCTGTAAAATAACCAAGGTTCCAGGTCCTGAGGTGCAGAGAGGACCTTGTCCAGTGTCCAGGCTCAGTACGCACAAGATTCTACTGAAGACCTGTTGTCCACGAGCTCCTGATAATCTGACATCCTGCACCTCTGTCAGCAATAATAAATAAAGATAATATAAAAAGAATTGCACGATAGTCTTTCAGAAAGCCCTGTCTGACATCACCTAAAGCAAAGATGCAAAGAATGTCATGATGGCACCGGCATGCATGAGGAATGCACACCTACCAAGTGTGCACGTTTGTAGGGTATGATGGGAAATCAGGTTGGACCGAGAGGGGACCGTTGAGCATCTAGCTTCTAAGCCTGCGTGTGCTTCACATAATGGCCAGCTGAGTCATTTAACTGCGTACCGGTGAGTCGGTGCTACCACTGTGCCGGAGAGAGAGAAGGGCGGCTCTGTACCCACACCCCCGCCCTGCCTAAACAGACACAAGGGGGGCCAATAGTATTCCTATAAGCCGAGACTAATGGCAGTGACATGCATCTACATCCAGCTCAGCACATTCAAGAGACAAGTGCACTAGAGTCGTCCACCGAGTTCACTGTTACACGACTCGGAAAGACACATAAATAGAGTTCATAGGAGAGCGTCTCTCGTCGTATGGTTTCTTATTTAAACAGACTAGTGTTAGTACAGCTAACCCACCCTCACCAGAAAGGGTCCGGAGATCATCAACCCTTGCTTCCCTTGCCTTTTGGTGCCACCATGGAATCAAGGCAACACCAGTTACCATCCTCAGCAGAACTGCGCTTTTCCCCTTCCTCTGATTTTATTACGCAAGAACTTCGGACATGAATTCCGAGTCAGGGTGGAGGGGTACCTCAGACACGAGCTCCAGACCCCCAGCAATGGCTGTGCTTTTAGCGTTTCCATCCCCACACTCAAGATCAAGTCATTTACTTTTAAGGAAATTTTAAAGAATTAAAAAAAAAAAACATTAAAAGTCTACATTTAAGGTAATTATATTCAGGGCTTTCCCCACAGAACCAGACCAAACCCTTTCATGCTGTGAGCAGAACAGGTGACCTGTCTGGGCTGTTGGCTCGTTTTGAAGGTGCTTCGGTCATTCAACGTCCTGCAGGCACCATCCCCTTGCTGGCATTTCCCAAAACCACAGGGGGACCTGCTCTTGCTGTTGCCATGGAGCTCCTGGTGACTGTTGAGTGCGTGGGACCAGAGACACATCAGAGCAGACCCATGTTTCTCAAGTGCCTGGCAACAGTGGGCAACTCAGTCAGTGATCTGAAGAGTTAATCCCATCTGAATAGAAACCCAGAGTCAGCGCACCTGTGTCCCGATGAGAAAAAGGCTACATTCATCTCCTAATTGCAGAGCAAGTCCTGATTCAGCGGCTAACAACACCCCCTTGGTCCCTCAGCCACCCGGCCCTCCGCCCTCTTTGGTCCCGGGCCTCAAGGAGTGGCTTGGAGGCAGAGTTACACTTCAAGGCGTGATCTACGATGTGTCTTTGGTCTGACCCAGGTGAGGTGACAGGCCTCAAGCCACCCTGAAGGATTTATTAGAAAACAGGATGCGGAGGGCTGTCGCACCACCCCACTGGCTCTGCACGGGCGGTGGCCTGAGGGGGTCAAAAGAAGACCCCCACTATAGCGCCAGACCCAGCCCACACCCTCCTGTACCCTCTTGACAGGCAGACAGCTGAGTATGTGTGTTATTCTACATGTTAAGAGGCACTCCCGGGTCTATTAGCTGACCCATGTGATTAATCCATGTGCCACAGAGCTGAGACACACAAGCAGCTCCTTGTCAAATGGAGCTCTCCTCAAATGGAGCCAACGGGGCAGCCTTGGGGTTCTTGAGCTCTCCAAACTCGTCCATCCCCGACGTCATCTCCTCCTCCAGCTGCTCCGCCGTCTCCTCTGGCTCCTTGCCGTCTACCTCCACGGCCCGGTTGACCGCCGACTCCGGTAGCTTGTGGCCGCCGCTGTTGCCGTAGACGCTGTGTCCATTGAGCGTCCCATTCCGCTTCTCCGTGAGGGGCACGCCCTCGGACAGCAGGCTGGCACTGCTGGGGGACAGGGGCGTGTCTGAGGACTGCAGGAAGTCCCGCCCATTCTTTTCAGGCATGTGGGTGGTCCTGTGGCCCACACACATAATGTAGAGCAGACAGCCCAAGAAGGCCCCAGCGAAGAAACACACGGGGTAACCGGCCACCACGTGGCGCGTGCCCGTCAGGGCCTCGACCACACCCATGCAGGGGGCATCCATGGCCAGCTGGTACTCAGCTTTGCGGCAGGGAGGCTGCTCTCGGCCGCCTTCCTCGCAGAAGCAGGTGTAGATGCCCACGCTGTCGCTACTGACCATCACCTCCAGGTGGCGCTGCCATGTGTGGCGGCCATCTGGGTGGACCCAGTAGCAAGACCGAGGTGAGAGCTGCTCACAGGACAGGACGACGTGCATCCCGGTCATCACGCGGAAATCCTTCACTGTGGGATGGCAGCGTGCTGTGGGGGCGAGTCGGAGATCCCATTATTTATGCCAGTACTTAACAGCCCTAGTGGTCCCATGAAAAAAGCTGTTAAAGATGCCCATAATTAAGGAGAGGAAAATGGGGCAGTCCTAATTTATAACAGGCCTATTTACTTTAACATTTAAAGGTTGAAGGTTAGAGGAAGTCATTAAATGTTACATTAATAAGAGACACTGACTTTCATGGTTCATGGCTGCTTCGTTTTGGATGTTTATGGTCTGCATGCTTTGACCTCCTTTCTAGCTGCTTAACAGCTTTTCAGATGAACCTTGAGTGACATTTGAAATCATGGAGGTCAGGCCTGGTCCTCACGGGCCACAGAGGATCTGATTAAGTTTCGGTGCGGCTGGTGTTCACCGAGGACTTCATAGGCAGGCCGATCGTGAACAGGACCTACCCTCTCCGACGCCGCACCGCCCCAGCGGGTCTTCGGGCTCAGCTCCCTGCGGGATCCTAGCAGAGTTTGGGAAACGGACCCATATTCAGTGATAGTTAACCCACAAGTGTGGTCAGACCTGCAAAGCCATAATCACAACAGACGCGGGAAGTGACACGGTGTGGCGGTGGGGACGACGACACATACCCTCCCAGTGCCTTGACACAGGCTGGTGCTCCTGCCTTGGTCCTCCACATGCAGCCCAGCCTTCGAACCAGAGCGCACGTCTCGCAGCTGCTGTACTGCTCACAGCCATCTACTGGGAGGCTCATCAGGGATTGGGGCGACCCAACCAGGGCCCGGCCCTGAGATCGTGGGAGGGAGAGAACAGGTTAGTTCCAACTGGATCAGGATGCCTCTTGCATTAATTCTTGGCTTCGAAAAGAAAATCAATGTGTACTGGCTCCTCAGCAAAGCCTTTAAGCTCAAGGCCACGTCCGTTTCTGTGGGATTCGGAAGCCCAGAGGCAGTTCTGCGTACCTTGTATAAGAGGATGTTGTTAACAGGCTCCTGGAAAGGGAATATGGGGCTCTCCAGCAGGATGCTGGTGTTCTGTCCCTCCACCAGCACCCTGTGCAGCTGCCCGCGGTCTGAGGGACGACACGGACCGGTAAATGCGGACACGGCCAACCACCGAACACAGCGGGTAGGCTGAACGGGATTAATGCTCCTTTCACTCCGTTTATCACCCTCTCCTTTATCACACCTCTCAGCTCCATCTCCCACACACTTCCTCTTCCTTTCTCCATTCCTCCACACCCCCCGCTCCACCCTCTTACCTGTGCCCAGGTGCAGGACCACATCACCACCCTGACTGTCGCTGGCGTGGCTGACAGCGATCTTGGTGTAGGTTACTCCCCGCCTAACAAGCAGGGGCGCCGCCATCACACTGTTCTCCATCAGGGGGTGGTCACGCACGTAGGTCAGCACCTTGTCTGGAAGCTTGAGCGAGGATTCGAAGCCTTCTCCCTTAAGGGCCTTGGTGATGCACTGACCATCACAGGCACCAAGATAAGCAGGTTTAAAAAGCCAGAACTCCACAATGCTCCCACTCAGATCAATCAAAACTCTAATCCTACTCCCACTCAAAAATCTACATACAGCCCACAATACATCCACTCCAACCAATCAAAACTCAAACCCTCCTCCCACTTAAAGCAGCCTTAATTCTATGCTTCTCCCACTTCACACAATCCACTCCACACTCAACTCCCCATCAGCCTTCATTCTTACAGCAGTCCACCTGGTTTTGGTGGTGGCTGGATTCGACTTCCACAATGGTTGGGGTCGACTGTGATATGGCATGGCGTGTCACCACCGTACTGGTGGTTCGCTAAGGCTATCAGATCTGTAGTGTACCTGTCCTGGTCTAGGGCTGGGAATGGGCTCTGGGTTGTTCCAGTTCTCGCAGTTCTTCTTCAGCTCTTTGAAGGGCCCGGCCATCACCTTCTTGATATCCTCCAAGCTGTAGGCGCACACAGCAGATAAGGGCTCCCTCTCCCTGGGGAAAGTGAGAAAAGGGAGTCAAAGGTCAGCCGTTTCGCTCGATTCACCCTCAACCCCATTGCCTGATGCGTCTACTCGGGCATAAATACCACGGGAAATGGAACCGCTCGTAGATCAGACAGATCGTAAATAGCACGCATGGCATTCAAGGTGGCGAGGTGGCTGCTGGGATGAAGACCAGAGCATAGCTGGGTGAAGGCCAAGGCCCTGCTGACACTGGACCTCTGGGTATCTGCGGGGCTTAGGGACCATGTGGATTTTCCACTAACCACTGTGAGGTGAAGATGCCGTAGAAATGGGTGCTGCTAGGGTCTCCCTCCCGGACATCTGTGGTGTAGACGTCTGTCAGGATGTTATAACGTTGGCCGCTGATGCGGTCCTCACACACCAGCTGGGCCTTTAGAAAGGTTGTCCATCGCTTCTGGAGGGTCTTCATGCCCCCAACATCTCCCTGGGCAGGTGGAGTGGCGGGGAGAGACATGGAGGAAGGAGGAGGCAAAAATTGAAGAGGGTATGAAACACGATTCAGGCGAGCCGAGGTGAGTGTCCAACAGCAACTACATTAGCACAGACAGACTGAAGAGAGGACACACCTTGCAGACACGAGCTACTCTGGAGACTTTGACCTTGGTGTAGAGGTCATACTCCCTAGCGACCTCTGTGAAGAAGAAGTAGATCTTGTCATCTTCCCCTATAGGATTGTTTGGATCTTCCTTGATGAACGCAGAACTCACAAACTCCGGGTCTGTGGGAAAACACACGCACACACACAGTGTTGAGTGAAAAATCACAGCCTGCGTGTTGTTTTACTTCTCACAGAAATGCCTGCACCATTCTTAAGTATAAAAGCCAGACCATGACAGGTGCCCCAAATAGTATGGGATGATTTCCCATAATGCCTGGGCAGTGCACGTCCCGCAGGCCCGGCCCGCTGCCCAACTCACCGTTGAGCCAGTTGATTGACTGCTCGGTGCGGATACGCTCCCCTTCATTGCCCGTTGCCCGGGAGATGTCAAAGAGCGTGCCCAGGAAATTGCTGGTGGCGGCTGTGTACAGGACTCCATCTGCAGGGAGGTGAAGCATGTGTGTGAGAGAGCGAGCGAGTGCCTGTGTGTATCCGTCTCCATATTTGGGCTGCATGTCTGAATATACAGTATGTAAGCGTGTTCATTTGTGCACATGGCGTGTCATGTGTGCCGGTGTGCAATGCAGTGTGCCGGTGTGCAATGCAGTGTGCCGGTGTGCAATGCAGTGTGCCGGTGTGCAATGCAGTGTGCCGGTGTGCAATGCAGTGTGCCTGATGCGTGCTTGCCTGCCATGACTGCCGCATAGTGCTGGCTGGGCTCAAATGGACATTTCCCTTTCCCCGTCTCCATCTCCACCTCCCCATTGGGCGTCCTTTTCAGGGAGAAGCTCTTGACGTCCTGTAGCAGTGAGACAGACAGACAGACTGAGTCAGACAGATGGACGGACGGCTGGACAGAGCCCGCTGCCTCATAGAGCACTTCTTTCTGCTTCTCTCTTCCCGGCCTCGCTGTGCGAACCGCGACACCCCAACCCTGGATCGTATCTGACGGAGTGTGTGTTCTCCATGTGCTTGTAGCCCACATCGTCCACGTGGCACCACATACGTCCCTCGGAGAGACTGCCAAAGTGTACGAGTGCCTGTCAGCCTTATCGCTCGCTCGCCGCTTTCATCCATCAGCGTCTGACTGCTACCTCAGCGCAGCTGTGATCACGAGCGCGTCTCTGCGGACCAATCACGTCTCTCGCTCTGTGTTCCAGGCGCCAACTGTCCCAGGACCGCGCCGATGCCAGGTTCAATGTCAGTACGCAGCTGGCACTTACGATAGTGACGCACTGGGGGTAGTAGGCGTAGGTGCCACAGGCGTAGATACTGCTGCTGTTCATGAACTCCAGCAGCCTGATGTAGTTGTGGCAGTCACCCTGTAGAGGGCAGCAGAGAGAAGGCAAGGTGTCAGAGAGAGCCAATCCGATGCAGTCGGCCCAATGAGTGCAAGCAATGAGGCCCTGGGGATGAATCAGAGACAGAGCCAGGGGCTTCTTCCGGAAACTTCTGCGTACTGGATTGCACTTGGCCGCGGAAATGGGTTTTCACTGCATGCCTGAGAGTGATGTGGGAACAAACACTGCTTTGGCAGAACATGCTGATGGGCATGAACCTGCTGAGTGGAGTAGTCAGATTGTGGAGCGAAAGTACATTAGGAATACGCTAGATTACAGAGCCATTATCAGGACTACATAGCGGACACCAGTATTTGAATTGTGTCAGAGGTCTTGGGGGGGGTGGGGTGCATATGACCTGTTTGGGGGGGGGGGGGGTACCATCCACCGCCTGCCCACCTGAATCCACACCCCTGGCAGAAAACATGTCAGAGCTATTATGGGAAATACCAGCATGATATATTTAGATTAAGATGAAGAGAATCTGGCTGTCACACTTCAAATATACAGAGAGATGAACAGACAGACAGTACCGGTGTCTGGCCTTCAGCCAATGAAAACCTTGTCTCATAAAATTCAGCAATAGCTGACGTAGTCCTTCATTTTACGGAAAACGAGACTCAGCGTTCTGTCTCCTGTCTGCAAAACTCAGTCACCGTTGCCAGATTCAGCCACAGCATGTGAGTCATTCAGTGCACAATGGCTAGAAAAATATACACACTTCACACAAAAACAATGCAGACTAGGTAGGTAGGTAAGGGGCAAGCTGATTACAGTGCGTTACCACACCCACCACACGACGAACCACCTCAGAGAACCGGAGTGCAGCCATGTGGCGGCCGACACCTCAAACTTGTGTTTGTCCAAAAGTATAAACACACAAGCTCATTAAATGAGACAGATTGTGGGACATCACTGAAACCCCCTTCCAAAATGCTGACATGGACCCCTGTACCCCATGTGAGCGCCATGCAGGCTCAGGCAAACAGCCCTAGCTGGTGACATAGACGCCATGCAATCTCAGCGTTTCACAGCCCCCAACACGTCGGACGGAGTGACGGTCGTCTGCGATTCTGAGGGGTCTCCGTGACGACAGACAAGTAAGCCATTAAAAACTGGGCTCTAAGATCATGTCAGGATCCTCAACATGTCACTGAACAAGTCTGCTGTGGTGGGCAGGGGGGCATCGACATGAAACACCTGACCCCTACCATGTTGGTGATCTTTACAGCATGTGTTGTTACGAATGACCCCCACTGTACACATGGCTGCCATGGAAACTGCACAGCCAATGAGCATCTCGGTGACCCGCTAGACCTGTATCTGCCGTCTGACCTCACAGCGGTGCACAGATACGCCGATGATGAATGTAAGTGCAGAGACATGGACAGACCCCACCGGAACATAAGTGCTAGGTGTTTGTAGGACATACGTGGAGGTCCCGGCTCAGGACCCCGTGAGCTTCACCTGTGCCTTTGGGAGAGCGGCCCATCTGTGTGGGGAGCTGGCCCAGTGCCCGCTCAAATCCCGGCACTAATCTCAGATGAGGCCCAGATAATCCCACAGAAAATCGGCTTCCAGAGTGACACGTCTGGCATTTAAAAGAGTGACTTTGGGCAAACAGCGAATAAACAAACACGGCTTTGCATACGCAGCCTTAACAGCATGATTGGTTTTAATCCGTCTGCCAGATATCTGACAGGCAAACGGTTAAACGATTTCTAAATAAAAATGGAAATTTATTAATTCCGGAAGGGAAATGAAGATGCATTTTCTAGGTATTCTGTGCACCCGTTAATTAGGACATCTAATGTTCTTTGTTTGTGTGTGTGTGATATGAAGACTGTACATGTGGGGGTGTGTCTCTGTGCAGAGCCAGCTGTCACCTCCTCTGGCACACCCCCCCCCCATTCCCTGCCCCCCACAGTCCAACACAGCATCTCCTTTGTGCAGTTAATCACAACCTCTCTGCCCTGTGCTGCCCAAACCTGTTCCCAGCCCGTCGATCACCGCTGTGCCCCCCCACCCCCAAGCCTACCGGCACCACAGTGCATGCTGGGAAGGACTGTCACGGCTAAGTGGGCTCATTAACCTCAAAACACGCCGGCCCCCCCTCTATGCAAACGGTTCCCCTCGGAAACGCTGATGAGTGTATGAAGGAAGAGGCTGATATCGGGGACAAGAAGCCTCGACGTAGGCAAAGTCTGATACCATGAAACGTGCTTTCCAAGTATAAATCACATATAAACACACTCAATGGCCACTTTATTAGGTACACCCAATAGTACCAGGTAGGACCACTTTTTCCTCCAGAACAGCTTCAAGGGTAAATGACTTGTGTTTGGAGGAGCCTGTCTGCACAGCGTTGCTGTGACCTCCGATAGCTTTCAGGAGTCTCCCTCTCTCCGCTGGCCTCACTCATTGACAAGGCCTTTTCAGCCACAAAAAAAATGCCGCCGACTGATGATGTTTGTTTGCCGCAGTGCTCTCTGTACACTGCAGACACTGCAGTGTGTTAGGATCAGCGGCGCCTGGCCCTTTCGGAGCCACTGGAACCTCCACGCCTGGCCCCACATTCACAATCACGTAGATCAGGTGTTGTAGCCTCTCATGTTTAGACGAACAATAACTAAGCCTCTTAACCGAGTCTGCAGGCCGTATATATACTGCATGCATTAGGTTGCAGCCACATGATTCGCCGTTTGGAGGCAAAGGCTGCTCACGTTAAACAGCTGTACTTAATAAACTGCGCACTGAGTGTTTATTAGGGTTTTGTTTTACCATGTAATTCCCCAAAGCAGTAGATAAAATAATTAACTGATGTGGCCTATACTGATTGGACAGTTTTATGGTCACATGAGTTTATACAGAAGTTACTTGGCTCATTTGCAGCGTGGCACTATACCTGACCCTTTCTGGCCAAAGCCCAAACAACAGGGGTAGGGAGAGAGATGGAGGAGCCAGCTGAAGGCTGGGGTGGGGAGGGGATGCGGGAGGGACAGTCACACGGCCGCAGTCACACGGCCGCAGCCACCGCAAAGCTGCTCCTTAGCATTAGCAGTTTGGTCTGCGACAGAGCTGCAGCTTAAATCCAGCTCCCTGATGTCTGGTGCCCTTGGCACACAGGCTCACACACTCACAGCATGAATACACATTTGCATATCTATTTTCATCAGGACTGCACACAGACGCTTACTTTAAAGCAAATGATGCTAATGGAAAAGGTTCCTAACCACAGCAGAAATAACCCAAAATTTTTTATACAATATAGAAATACATTTTTTAGTATATACATATATATATATACACATACACACACACACACACACACACACACACACACACACAACAAACACTGGCTCCCCTTCCTTTGAGTACAACACAGCCCCTTTTCTATCTCAGTCCCCTGTAATAGTTTATAGTTCCCATTTCCCATTGTTGTATGCTATTTAAATTGCTCTAACATTTAAGAAAATGTTAATCCCAAAATAAATCAATTAATAATAATAATAATAATAATAACAATAATAATAACACCACCCTGATTCGCAGGGCTGTTCTCAGTTGAACATGTGGCCCCATAAGGCCGTTCACCCTTCATCTGGTACAGTTCATATTCACTAGCTTGGACTATATATTAAGGCATTTGCATATGTCTCCCGGCAGCTGCCCGGAGATGTTTGGGAGGGGCCTACATCTCCATGACGCCGCCTCTGTCTGTCCCTGTTTTCTTATCCACACACCGACGCCCCTTTTCTCCGAAACTCAGATCGCTTGTTTGTCGTCGGCAGAGTCCCTTCCCCCCCCTCACCTCCGTCTTCCCCTTGGCCACACATGCATCTTGCTTGCTCTTCGGGACGTCCCACACGATCTGCGGAAGCACAAAGAGGCGGGCGTCAGAGTCAGCACCGAGTGCCAAACGGTGAGAGACGAGATTTAAAGATTTTGAAAGAATGAAGTGTCCCCACTGAAGGACAGGATTAGCCCCATAGTGTCGAGTCACCTTTGCCTGGACGGTTAAACTCAGCATGTCAGCCGGGGTCAGACGCTCCCCGACCAATGACCGACCGCCCCCACACCCACACCACCTCTACAAAGTTCCTGTTTTGCTCTCAGCTTGACCAGGTTTGATATCCGGCTGTCGAAGTTTCTACCGCAGGCACTTTTGTTTTGTTTCGGTTACTGCAAAACCAAGAGCGGGCAGCCAACAAGGAAATGGGATTTTCACCCAAGGAGGGGGCAGGGGCTGGTCCTTCCTGTCTAACACTAAGTGAAATATTTTCACTAGAACAGCTTTAAAAAAATAGTTAAATTCCAAGACACTTGAGCCACTTCTGCGAAGGAATCAACTGTAAAAGAATAATGTCTAGGAAGGAATTAGACTTAAGATTTCTGTATCATTCTTCTGTGCACTATCATGCAATCTCAGAAAATGCTGTAAACTGAAGGCTCTCGGCATGATCAATCCTCTCAGGGAAACATTAAATATAATGGAGAACATAGAGGGCAAGAACAATGATTGATCAAGCTGGCTTTGTTTCCTGCTTTGCTGTTAAAGCTCCTTTGACTAAGTGCTTCATGAGTGATCATGAATGAAACATCACGGCTGTTATGATAAATAAAAGTGATTTACTGAGGCGCCACGTCTGGAAGACATCTGTAGCCCCCTTTATAGGGGGTAACTAGCAAGCTGCCTGCTGCCCCTCATCCAACATCAAATATCGGGGCACTTGGTTTCGCTGACAGGACAGGTGGCACATAAAGGACTGGCAATTGCATTGAATAAGAAGCAAAATAAGTTATTACAAGCAGAACAGAATGCACAGATTGAAGCCCAGGAGGCAAAACAACAAAACAGATAGGCTCTTGAGTTTCACTGCTTCAAATACTTCTCAAGCTTTCAGTTTTACTCTTGTTCGGCTCCTGTTTGGCTGCAATGTGGTCTTTGTGCCCTAAGGCACTTTGTAAACACTGACAGTCAAGGCTGTCTCCTGTATAGCATTGTGATGGGAGCTCTGATGAATCAGACTGTCAGAATGAACATGACAGCTGTCATATCAGACAAGAAACTAAATTCAACAGAAAACTGATACATTTCAACAGTAATTTTCAAACTTCATAGGAGAATAAATTAAGAAATAAACTTTAGCTGAATCAGAAAATATGATTCCAATCAGCTTTGTATATCCTTACCCTTAAGCCCCATCCAATCAGCACCCTACCCCTCAGGACCCATCCAATCAGCACCCTACCCCTGCGCCCCTTCCAATCAGCACCCTGCCTTCAGCCCCATCCAATTATCTCCCTCAAGTGTAAAGCCCTCATCACCTGCTTGGCTCTCTTCGTGAGGTCGTTGGTGTCAATGGCCAGAATGGCATCCCGGGCCCCGAGGTAGAGTGTCGCAGTGCTTGGATCCAGTAGGAAGGTGCTAAAGTTGGACAGGTTGTAGAACTGCTGTAGGTTTGCATTGCCATAGGTCCCTGAATGAGAAAGGTGGAGAAAGTCAGTCAGTCTGTGGTGAAAGGAGTTTAAAGGGGCCTATTTTCAAAGGCTTTGAAGTTAATACACATATACACACACACTCGGAGCTCTTCTTGTAAGAACCCGGACATCACATCCTGCAGTACAAGGGGTAAGACTGGTCACATGATACAGCTTTTTGCTTTTGTCCAGACCTGTAATCTCATTGTTGGGGTAAAAATTACTTCAGTACAGCAGGGTTCCACCTTGTAAATGGACACAGTGTGTTACTGGCTACAGAAGTCAGCAGGACCACAATGCTAACGGAAACACTGCCTACTGTAAGCAGGCTATCCGGATAAAAGCAGACTTGAACAAATTTGCGAGTCGCTCGCCAGCACTGCACAAAGGAATAGCTTAACCATAAATGGGGAACGATCTGAAGGCTGAAGTGAAGTTTAAAACTCACACGGATAATTCGCACAAAATGCAGAAACAAAAAAACAACACTTGGAAAGATTATTCGACACCTGCAAAGCCAACAAGAAATGTTTAAACTCAAAATAAGTCCGATGCTATGCAGGTTTTTTTTTGTTAACTGTGCAAATATGTGCTTATTATTGTTTTTTTCCCCCGCAAGTGATGTACTGCCTGGAAATGAGGCAGTTATCAGTGAGCTGTGTAACATGCATGTGTCATTAGAAAATGCAGGTATTCAAACGCCGTGCTGTGCCGAAAGATAAACTGATGACCAATTAAGCTGGCGGGACAAGTTTGGAGGCCGACAGGCACACATGCTGAGCTCAATAGATCGCATTCAGCTACTAATTGGCTTGCTCATGTTCAACATTGGGGATCAGCTTGATGTAGATGTCCAATTAAAAGGGGGGGATCTGGTATTCAATGAATGAATACTATTAAACAATTCTAAAAGACTCGATATGTCTGCAGTAATAACGACACATTAGCAGTTGGTGGGATAATTAACCTGTAGTGCCATTTTAACAACAACAAATCCAGTGGCATTTGTTGCGATCTGGAGTCTGTCCCACAAAGGGTGTGAACGAGGGCGCGACCCCATACAGGAAATCAGCCCATTACAGGATATTTCATGCACTACAGGCAGCTCGCAGTAATAACACGCTTGAGGACTTTGGGAGGAAACCTGGAAGAAATGCAAAGCTACAGAGAGACTGAATTCAAACCCACAAGAGTGGGAGTCTGAGGCAACCACACTAGCTAATGCACCACTATGCCTGATTATATAATTGACAAGTGCAGAATGTATTACACCGTTTAAACCACTAACATCCAGTAAGCAAATAAATAATGTAACACAGCAAGATGAGAGAACGCAATGTTATGGTAAGAGAAAAATGCAAAGGTTGCAAGACTCGCTGTGTGTGTTATAGCAAAGCAGCAGCGCCTGGAGATCTAGACTAATATGGGGCATTAATTATCTGCTTGCTCTCATTTATCAAAACAAGGCACTGAACTGCACATTCATATGATTTGGCTGATTAAGGGAGCTATGACCCAGATTTCCACTCCATTCCAGTCGAACACAAACAAACAAACAAACAAAGTCAACAGATGAGACAGAGATGAGTTGTAGTCCTAAATATGGACTTCAGACAGCTGTGTGTGGGTGGGGGGGGTGGTGATGGAGTGGCTGGCCCGGAGCTAACGTGACAAGGGCACTGGGCGACAGCGGCCCAGCAGCTCGCCCTCGACCGCACCAGGCGCCAGCCGGCTCTCGCCAAAGGCCAATTCCTCACCCATGGTGGCACAAGGACGTCTTCACAGAGCACCTGCTGAGCCGGGCCGGGCCGGGCAGCTGCCCGCGGGCCTCTGCGTGTCAGTAGGCACATGAAGACTCAAATAGCGCCAAGCCACTGACCCACTTTCCAACATCACTATTTTACCCTCTGTCCTTAGTAAAGGTTACCAAAGCAACTGGCCTCGCGGGACTTGAACTAACAAGCTTCAGGTCTTAATGTGTGTCCTTCACTATCATGGCAGCCGACGCCGCTTTAGGTTAATTAGTTAATTAAGGAGGTGACTGGAGGGCGGGTGGGCAGAGGGGTGGGGTGTCGCCATGGAAATCAGCACAGCCTGGCAGCCATAGATCGGGGGGGGGCAGAATGTCAAAGCGGCCTTGTCTGCCTCCCCAGTCCGTGCTCATCCCGCTCGGGATGCCAGGGTGGATGTACGCATCACAGCTGCTCTCTGGGGGAATGGGGGCTACTGGCCTCACCCTCGGCGGGGGCTGCCCTCCCCACAGCTGCAGGCATTGTTCAGAGCCACCCCCACCCCACATGCATGCCACTGCCCCACCCACATTCCTGCCCTGCAGCCCCCAGACAGCTGAAGGAGGGCTGCACTTGGGCAGCTGAGAGACAGACAGACAGAGACAGACAGACAGACAGAGACAGACAGAGAGACAGACAGAGAGACAGACACAGAGACAGACAGACACAGAGACAGAGACAGACAGACAGACACAGACAGACAGACAAAGACAGACAGACAGACAGAGAGACAGACAGAGACAGACAGACACAGAGACAAAGACAGACAGACAGACAGACAGACAGACACAGACAGACAAAGACAGACAGACAGACAGACAGACACAGACAGACAAAGACAGACAGACAGACAGACAGACAGACACACAGACAGACAAAGACAGACAGACAGACAGACAGACACAGACAGACAAAGACAGACAGACAGACAGACAGACAGACAGACAGACACAGACAGACAGACAGACAGACACAGACAGACAAAGACAGACAAAGACAGACAGACAGACAGACAGACACAGACAGACAGGCAGAGACAGACAGGCAGCCTCTGTTCGTTATTCATTGACATGGCCAAAGCTTCCCGCTCCTGATTAATGGGCAGGTTTAGCCATTAGCGTACCAGGAAATGCAAGGCGGGGCAGTAATATTAACTGGCTGCAACGGCATAGGAGAAACTGTGATATTGAGGGGGGACACACCTTAATTTAAATATAACTCTGTTTATTGGGGGGATGAATACAGACAAATTAAATATTGGGGGTATACATCTGATTGCAGTTCTTACCCCCTACTTGGGTGAAATGGTGACGGCCTTTCAGGGAGCAAAACCCAGATGTGATTGTTCTAAATAGTGATAGTGATGTGGGCTTTCTTTGTCTCTCCCCCCCCCACACCGGTAAGAAGGGAATATGGACCAGTCAGATGCTCTCTGATGCATCGCCTTCTGGCTAATTCATATTTAACAGGCGGGCTGAGAAGGCATGTAATAAGTGTGTCCATTTCCTGGGCAAAGCCTATTGGGACTAGAAAGGAATGGGAGGGGTGGCTGGATCGATACTAGCAGGAGTGATCTGGGACGGGCCGACTCCGTCTAACCCGCACCCTTCCATGGAGAACTTATCTGGCTCAGGTCGGTGATTCCCATGCTAGATGGTGTGGCTATTATGCATACACGAAACCACCCCTGTTCACATGAACCCAGATACACTGGAAACTGCATTGAAGGGAGGTCCCACAAACCAGGGATGGATGGATGGATGGATGGATGGATGGATGGAATTTACTGCTCAGGGTTAATGGACCTCAGTTTTAAATACCAGAGGAACTGTGAAGACAAGCCTCCCAGATGAACAGACAAGTCAGTGCTGAGCTCCCCTACACGCGGCTCCTTGGCCACCAGCAGAACAGAGCCCATACCCACGCAAGCACACCATTATACAAACACCCTTCTGAAAAAAGCAGATTGTGAAATGTTCTTCCATTAATCATGCTGTGTTGCCAGACAGATTAAAATCCTGTACAGATCTGAGCTCTGGTGGTGGTGTTTGAATCACCACTATGTTTCCAGGCTGCCAGCATCATACTGTAGGAGAGGCTATGCCCTCAGCAGAGGTTAGCACCTGGAGGGACTCTGGGACCTCTGTCATGTTCTTATTCGCCTGCTGTCTCATTAAATCTCTATGATGGCCAAGAAAGGAACAATGAATGCCGGATCTCTGCAGGCCAGATTAAGTGCACAAAAGCTTAACCAAACTCCCATGCAGAAAATGACAGAGGCACAGGAACACCACCTATAGCTAACCTGAACTGAGCCAGAAAGACTAACCCACAAGCCAATGTGAGCAAGAGCATAATGCGGAAAACAGAAACGGCAGAGACCGGAAACAGGCCACTCATGTCTAATTAAGTTAAAATCCACCTTCTTATGCTCCATATATGACGGACACTTCCTGTTTCAATCACAAATAGATGCTTTCCTATTAACAGCAGCTGGCAGGCTAATGGCAAACCAGGGTCAACAGCACCCCTGAGACGCTCTGCTATCAGGCATGTCCATTAAGGGCAAACGCAGCGCCGACGGGGCGCGCCATGCCTGCAAGGATGACTCACCAATCCCAGGGCCAGCAGGGAAGATGGGGGGGCAGCCAAGGCTCGTGGGGATAGCAGCACTCTGTGAATGGCAAGGGCACCTTAGAAGCGTGATCTGGCAATAGGTCAGGAGGCCAGTATGCCGGGGTGGGCGAGCTCCAAACCTGATAGTACTGCCTTTTTTCCCCCCAAAAGGCCTGCCCTTGCAGCAGAAAGCAGGTCTGATGCCTAAATCGGTCCTGCAGCATTTAGGCGGGGGGGGGTGTCGGAGCTCAGCTGCGGCAAGCGCACCACGGACGTGACGGCGAAGAATGCGGTGACGCACAGAGCAACAATAAAACGACAGCTTGTCTCCGTGACTGACGTCAGGCGCCGTGGATCAGCGGCGGTCCCACGTGGAAGCTGCTAAAGCACAACGGACTCGGCATGCTAATCCGCAGAGGGGGAGCACAATGTCGCCTGTCTTCATAACATCCTGCTGGCTTTCAGAAGCGGGTAATGTTGGAAATGGGAGACATCATACTTTAAGATGGACTCTTTTGCAGTCCTTTCAGTTTTGAAGTGCGAGAATCTAAGGAAAAGTGAAGAACTGACACACAGAACTGGTCCAACACAGG